TTTTTTTCTTCACAGATGCTGCCAGACCTGCTGAGCTTTTCCAGCAACTTTGTTTTTGTTCCTGATTTGCAGCATCTGCAGTTCTTTCAGTTTTTATTTAGTTAAAAACTGGGATTACGTGAGATTATTATTTTTTGGCCTCTTTTGTCCCTTAAATTTTATTTTTTTCTACATGTTATTTTTCATTTAGGTATCAATGGGGAAAAGCTGTGTTTCTGTAAGGGGGCATGTTAAATTTCTGCCTTCTGTGGAATCACTATACCATTATTATTTGGTCTGGTAGCGAAATTGAACATCATGCAATGGTTGCAGAATTCCAAGTCCAACCCTTGAGTTATCAAGGGGTGGAATGGGTGCAGTGGCATCAAGCAGTTCCATGTCATAATAACAGAGCAGCAAAGCCAAAAACTGTTTGATCTCATTGATTGCAAAATAGCGACCAGGACACATACTGGTTCCAGAACCAAAAGGCATGAGATAGTATTTCAGCTTTCTACCATTTTTGTAGAATGTGGTCTTCTCTCTTCCATTTTCATCCACAAATCTGTCATATTTAAATTCCTGTATGGTAAAGAATGATACTTTGTTTTAGTGCATTCATTAAACTATCACATGATAAATAAGCTATTTGGAATAGTTTAAAATCACTTTTTGCTAAAACATTTTGGTAAATCTTTACTTTCTGTTTGACAACACTGCGGGCTGAATCTTGAAATAAATTGGCTAAGTGTTAGTTTTATTGAGTTTCATGGATAGTTTCGTTTTGCAAGGCTTAGCAAGTTTTCTTCTGCTATCATCCCAAACCATCTCATTAACTACCTACCATATCCCTATGGCGCTCCTTTCATCTGATACCACCTGATTCTTCCACTTGCTATATTAGAAGTGCTCCCCATTGTCAGGATATCCTGTGATATACCAATATTCCTGGTCTCGGTGCCATATTTAAAAGGCCATTGCACACCCAGTCAAGCACTGTCAGTTTGTAGCTGCCCCCTTGTTTGCAGACATTCACCCCTGGCATGGCTGAGAAGGGAGAATTGGCTTCCTTCTTTGTGGGTAGGGGCCAGGGAAGTCACGGTGGATAGGGTGGTGCAGGGGAGGGAATTCCAGTTCCCCAAGGACCAGCAGAGGAGTCACAACACCAGATCCTGCCACTCTGGTCTGAAGCTGCTACTCAGGTCAGTGGTATGGAGGAACAACCAACAGTGTGGGAAGGTGGCCAAGGGCATTTGCCAGACTGCAATACACAAGTGCATACGGAAAGTAATAATTGCCCTGTGCGGAAAGGCCAACGAATACATTAGCATCTTCTTGGCAGATGATTTCCAGGATTATTCCCACAGATACAAAGCACATTTCACTGCATACACCTGGCCATTAGGGCTTCCTGAAAACAGCCAATTGTGTTTGCAAATGAGAAGGAGTATTACTCTCTTAACATTCAAAATGTCTGTGACTAACAAAAAAGAATTATTCAGGAATGTGCTAGTTTTCCAGGCAGTTATCATGACATGTGCACCTTAAGGAGCTCCTAGCTGCAGCAGCTATTTGAGGTCCTTGATCATGTGTATTGTTGGATCCTGGATGACAAGGGTTATCCCATCAAAATGTAGCTTATTAAACCAGCACGTTTTCCCAAAGCTCCACATGGGAAGGTATCTTGTCAACAAGAGTAATCATAGAGCAAACGATTGGATTACTGAAATACCTGCTGCCTTCAACATATCAGCAGAGATTTACAATATACAGCACAGATGGTGTCCAGAATTGTTACTATCTGCTGTGCCATGCATAATGCAGCATTGCAAGGAGAAATGCAGATTGAGTACAGCAAGGAGCTGCTATTCCACACAGCTAGGGATAATGGAGAGGAATATGAAGAGAAGAAGAAAGATCTCATGGTGGCTATCCCAGATGCTGATGTCATGCCTGCCTGGCCTCTTAGGGACAACTTTGGCCATGAATATTGAAAGCCATGTTTGACAGTCATTCCCTTTGTTTGCCCACTGTTCACCTATGTCTGTCGGTCTCAATGCTCAATGATCTCACTACAGATATCTTCTCCTCTACAGACCAAGAAAATGGACCAATCTCAAATGGGATAATCCCAAGGATATAAACTTTACACCGACTTTAATATCATGAGCCATCTTCCCTGACATTGTCAAGGCCACAGTTGCACAAACAGCACATACTTTCCTGTGATCTTGGCCACTTGCTGAGTTATTAATGGAAGACCAGCAGATGCTACATGTGCAGCCATATCACATTACCTTGGGAATACAAACCACTCCATACATATTACCATCCAATAAAGATTGACTTCACCACATTATTGCCTCCACAAGTGAGATGTCCCTCTGTGTCCTTTATTCAAATACAACTGCCAAACATGAAGCACTGGCCTAGGGTAGGTGATGACCTAGTGGTATTACTGCTAGACTATCAATCCAGAGACCCAGGTAATGTTCTGGGGACCTGGGTTCAAAACCTGCCGTAGCAGATAGTGGAATTTGAATCTAATAATAATCTGGAATTAAGAGTCTAATAATGACCTTGAAACCATTGCCGTTTGTCAGGAATAAACCATCTGGTTCACTAATGTCCTTTAGGGAAGGAAACTGCCATCCTTACCTGGTCTGGCCTATATGTGACTCCAGACGTACAGCAATGTGGTTGACTCTTAACTGCCCTCTGGGCAATTAGGGATGGGCAATAAATGCTGGTCTAGCGAGCAATGCCCACATCCCATGAATGAATTTTAAAAAAAGACTGTGCACATCATATTACACCATGTGTCATTGCAAAAGAGAGATGAACTATTAATTTAAATGGCTTCTCTGAAGGAAGCAATAGATGCACAAAATGACTGCATTAGTCATGTGAACAAAAGATATGCCGGTATCTGTCTATTATAATGTATATGATTATTATCTATTTTAATAGCATTTATTTTGGATTTTGAACCAGTGGCATGCGGGTTGTCTATGTGTGAAGATTAATGATTATCTTGTAAATATTTTTGTAATCATGGTGATTTCTTTTATAACACAGTATAAAAGAAAGACTTCCCGGAGAGAACTAGACTTTTGTTTTTATTGGGTGGGTCTGGGAGTAAAACGTTGTGCATTAGATTGTGTATTTAGCAGGTTCTAGAATTGGTTTTGGCTAAAGGGAAATACCCAAAACTTGAAAAAAGCCATAGTTTGGACAGATCTGCAGAAGTCTTGACTGAAACTGTATGTGAAAAGTAGTTGTTCCTAAATTAATGATTTGTGATAGTTTAGAAGTATTAAGAAATACATTACTGCAGTGCACGGAGTTTACTTTTAAAGTTCCACATCAGAAGTGTTTGGTTAAAACTCTGAATGTATTATTTGAAGCTACCTCAAGTGTATAAAGATTCAATGAAGAGGCTATCAGATTCTCTAGACAGCGAATTGAAGCTGCAGATACAAAAGGAAGTTCTCTTTGGTGTGAGTACTGTAAAGGACTGCTGGGATTAAGGGGTTTGGATTTTACCATGTATTTCACAATCTTTACACTGGTATTATAAACAAATAGTTTAATTCATTCTACTTTTTCTTCATGTCTTTTGTGAACTATATTTCTGTTATATTGTTAAAATCACATTTACAGGATTACATGCTTATGTTTCAGTGAAATACCACTTTGTTAAAATCAAAAAAACTATAATTTAATAAACTAGATTTCAAACTGAGGTCTGACTTGTCCAAGAATAATATCAGCTGGGATCATAACATTATGTAGATGTGCATACAATAATGTCTCAGCAACCATGCCATCATTGTATCTTTAATACTTCTTAATTTTCTTTTGTGAGTACTGATGTCAGCAGCTGGTGAGGAGATAAGTTGCTGAAAACGATGCCTTGTGTTTGCATATGGGACACGAGTCCACTGCATGCACTTAAAATTTGCACTGTGATTTCATGCACTGGGGCTCCTAACATGTGTGTAGAAGTGGCTGTCACTTCCTATTCTACCATCAGGAGCTGGCCTCTTCAAGTCCACGCCCCACTGTGGAGGCACAAGATGGAGAGAGGCTTTTCCAAAGCTACTTGTGCACCTTTCGAAGTTGAAATGAAGATTCATTAAAATATATAACTAGTGTATGTTCTGGAAATATAATACACAGGAATCTTTAAATTATTCACATTAGAATTTAATGTGTGCAATGCTGATATTTTACCTACCAAGGGATCCTCATAAATTTCTGGATTGAAATGCAGTTGTTGAGGATATAAACCAATTTGATCTCCTTTTCGAACAGCCAGCTTTGTACCCCCATCCAGAGTTAGGACAAAATCCTCAGTAGCAACACGCAGCATTATTGATGCACTCGATAAGCGTAGACTTTCATTTATTAGACTACCTGTTCAATTTATTTCAGAAGATCATTTAGTAGAGATTCACAAAGAAAGACACAATACATACAATGCCAGAAACTGTTTCTTTAAAGAATTATTATCAAGAAGTTTTGGAACATGGATGCAAGTACACTCCAAGCCACACAGTATTCTGACTTGGAAATATATTGCTGTTCCTTCACTGTCGCTGGGTCAGAGTCGTGGAAGTCCCTCCCTCACAGCATTGTGGGTGAACCTATAGCAAATGGACTGCTGCAGTTCAAGGAAGGCAGCTTACCACTGCATTTTCAAGGACAATAGACTCTAGCCCAACTAGAAATACCGTTAGCCCTAATGCAAAGTAAAACAAATGCACAAAGTTTATTTCTGAAATCAACCACAATGGCAAAGAATGGTAGATAATGGACCATAAGGTATAAATGAAGGGTTCAACTCAAAGGGCAGAATCTAATGAAGCTCCTTGGAGTGAGGAAACAAGGTAGGTAGGGACACCTCAATGTGTGAGAGGTGAAATGTCAACTTCCCAATTACAGAATTAAAGTTTTGAAGTAAGTTGGCAGAGGATTAAAGATGGATTGTGTTTTCCAAATGCCAGCACCTATTTTTAATACATTGGCATGTTGTGCATATTCATTAAGACACATGTTGCCATTTAAGTCAACAGCAAATGAGAAATACATGCTTTCTGATTGATGAATGATTAAAGTTGATGTATTGCAGGTGAGGTAATTGTCCTGGCAAATTTGGTGTGAGTAGGAGTTGCTTTTCCTGTATGGTAAACATTGTTGGTCTGGGAAGAGGAGGCTGAGCTGCTACAATGAGCTTGGATTGTGGTTGTCCAGGGAGATCAGTGCATGGACTTCTGAGGGAGAGTGGCAGTTGCTCTGAATATCCACATGTGACAGGTTAGGAGGGTCTGACAGCAATTTAAGTTAACAGTACTCCTCTCAGACAAGCTGAATGATGTTGCTGGCTTTCAACCAGTGAATGCCATCTAAATATGGTGCCCTGGCATAGAAATCCATGCAGTAACAGCAGAGTCTGCAACTCCCTGCCTGAGACTCCATGCAGTTGGCTGGGCCTTCAGCTGGATGAAGCTAATTGGCTGGAAACTGTGTGATTGCATGTAGCTAGCTGTCCCATCTCCAATGTTCGGTCCCACCATCGGAAAATTCACTGCTGCAAGAAGCTACCATCCAATGGTTCTATTAGTATTGTGAACTATAACAAAGTCAAGGTGTATTATCAATGTCATGGAAGCACAAGATTGATTTGCTTCGTTAAGTGTCTTTTTTACTGATGACATTAAATTAGGTGCACAGTAATAGTGTAAATATAGAAGGTTGTATATGTACATTGATAGGTGAAGTAAGTGTTAGTGTTAGATGAAGTAAGTAACTGTAGTAGATGGAGTTCAGTATGGGAAAGCATGAGGCCATTCATTTCGGATTTAAGAAAGACGGGTTAGAAAGATTTGATGTTCAGATTCAAAAATCATTAACATTTAATCGACCGGTACTAAATATAAATAAAGACATTAATGGAATTTTGTCCTTTATCTCAAGAGGGCTAGAGTACAAAGTAATGATGTAGAGGTGCCAGTGTTGGACTCAGGTGGACAAAGTCAAAAATCACATGACACCAGGTTGTAGTCCAACAGGTTTATTTGAAATCACAAGCTTTCGGAGTCTTGCTCCTTCTTACAAGACTCCGAAAGCTTGTGTTTTCAAATAAACCTGTTGGTCTATAACCTGATGTCGTGTGATTTTTGACCTTGTACAAAGTAATGTTAGAGCTGTACAGAGTTCTGCTTATACCCTACGTAGAGTATACTGTTCGCTCTGGACACTGCACTGTCTGTTAACCATGAAGCAGATACAATGCTGGTTTACTAGATTATTGTCAGTATTAAAAAGATTAACTTCTGAGGATGAATTACATCAATTAGGCATGGAATATTGAAGATAAAGGAGTGATCTAAATGAGGTGTCTAAGATGATTAAAGGGTGCACAAGAAGAAAAATGTTTCCCTTGGGGAGATTACAGAGCAAGAGGAGTATATTCTTAAAATTAGCACCAGGCATTCTGAGGTGGTGTCATAAAGCACTTCCTCACACATAAATCTAGAACTTTCTTTCTCAAAAGGTTGTTGACTCTCAGTCAACTGAAAATTTCAGTCCTGAGTTTACAGTCCAGCTTTATTGAACCCTAGCAGATGGATGGAGTTACAGAACCTATCGGCCATCATAAGGTGAATGGTGCTGAATGACTTACTCTAGTTCCTAAGTTCTGAAAAGTTTGTTAAAATTGTGACTTATTACATTAATGAAAGAAGAATAAATAAAATCCACTGTCCAATGCCAGGCTGCTTGTATGGTCAGTGTTAACCACTAGTTGTGAATTAGTATTCAGATCATGTGGATCATTATTACATATATATGATTCAAATGATAAATGTTTTCATGTTCTTACCCATAGCTGTCATGCTATCTAATTGTTCTCTGGTGAAGATAATGGGATTATTAATGTCTCCAGGCTTCTGATTTGTCACACAAAGCAAGTTTTCAATTTCATTTTTCACTGCTTTCAGTGCTTCTTGAGACCTGTAGATTATGTAAAACCAAATAAACAATGTTGTAAATTGAATGTCACAGACAGTAAATATGACAGCTTTCCATCTAGATATGAAAAATAATAGCTCTACATGGATTTCTTGTTCCCAAAACTTAGTAGCCCAGAATTTACTGATAAAATAATGACTAATAAATAACTCATTATTATTAACGTGCAAATTGACCAGCAAATTATGGTGAGAAAGAGATACCGGCCGAATGGCAAATCTCCACAAATTGTTGGACGATTCACACTGCTCTATTATTAGTTTTGCAAAAATGGCATCTCAATGGTATTTTCATTATGGTGCTGCATCTGTACATTAATTGACAATTAACTCCAACACAGGAAGTAATTGTAGAAATTTACAACTTAAATAGCCTTCCTCTTAACAGTATGATAACGGTTAATTAAAAAAAACCAAAGAACTACAGATACTGGAAACCAGAAACAAAAATAGAAATTGCTGGAAAATCTCAGCAGATCTGTCCACATCTGTGGACAGAAGCAGAATTATCATTTCGAGGCCGGTGATCCTTCTTAAGAATTGACTGTAGAAAGGTCACTGGACCCGAAACAGTAACTTTGCTTTCTCTCCACAGATACTGCCAAATTTGCTGAGTTTCTTCAACAATTTCTGTTTTTGTTTCTGATAATGATAAATGTTTGCCAGTCTATCTCCTTGGCTCAGCAATTGACAATTAAAAGTGCAGATTCTCATTTTTCATGTAATGAGTGTGTTTTTTTTGGAGATTTAAAATATTAGAAACTATTTTTCTTACTATTCCTTTCTATCTCTTTTTAGCTCTCAACACAATCATTAATTTCCTGTCTTTATTTCTCTTTAAATACCAAAATCATCTACTCTAATTCATAATCCTTCTCAGTCTCTTGTTTGTTTATTTCTCAATCCTTAATAGTCAACAAAATACACTTCCTGAGAGAAATGCTTGAAAGTAAAATCTCTCAGTAGTCATAACTGTAACTCTTCAATGTAATTGATGAAAGCCTTTCTAGCTTGTCACTTTCACTGAAAATGCTTCTTCCACTGTGTACTCACCTTGCTGACAGTCAGGAAACAGGTTCTGTAAGGGACAGTAAGGACTCCAGGTGCTGGAAGCTAGAGTCAATAAATGTGGAGCTGGAAAAGCACAGCAGGTCACCTAGCTTCCGAGGCGCAGGGAAGTCAACGTTTCAGGCTGAAACCCTTTGTTAGGACTGGGGAGGGGGAGGGGAGCTCGGAAATAAATAGAGGGGGGTGGTAGGGCTGGGGGGAGGCTAGATGAGATGGATTATGCAGCACACTCTGTTTGGGGTATATGAAAGGCTAACCCAGACCAATCTGAGCAGTAGGACCTCACCTTCAGCAAGCATATCATCTGCTCCACCATGGCCCTGGTAATGGACAGGCTGCATTGTATCTTTGCTCCACATCAGTCAGGGGCTTGAGTGGCAGAGTCATCAGCCATGTCAGCAATGGCAGTCTCTGTCTCCAGTGATCATCCTTATAAAGCAGCTGCACACTACACGCAGCAGGACCATTAGAGTTCTCAAGAATGAAGGCATCATGGCAGCTTCCAAGGTGTTGGATGCTGACCTCTAAGAAGTGGAACAAGTGATCACAGATCACTTACACATTAATAAAATGGAACCCTTTTCTATTGATGAATTCAGCTGCATTATGCAAGAAAGGATGGCCTTCTCAGCGCGACGTCGCACCTCCACCATCAGCTACAATCCTGAATCCAGCTGTTCAGGCTGCTGCACTGTCTTGTCACAGGGAAATGAGAGGGAGCAATGTGATCTGGCACAAATTGCATTGGTCACCATCTTGATGCATTTGTGGATTGGTGATTGAGAGATCCGACACGGGTCCCCACTGGCTCCTTGGAAGGTGTCAGTTGCTTGAAATTTCAATGCAGCTCTCACCTTGATGGTCATAGGCTCCAATTCAGTAGTTAGCATAATTCTGTGGCAGTGTCGTGGGACGTTCTCAGCCTGCAGTAATACTGCACCTTGTTTATCCAAAGGAAACGGCATTGAGGACAGAGGATTCAGGATCCTTGTGCTTCCTACACATCCTGAGGGCCCTTCAGCTTCATCCTCTTCATGTGCATGTTGTTCTTGGTCTTGCATCTCCCCTCTTCCATTTCTTTGTGCCTTTGCATCATAGCAACAGCAACGATTACACTTACTGTGGCTGGAGACTTCAGTCACACTTGCAATGAACCTGTGTGGGGAGCAGAAGAAACAGACTGGTCCTTGTCAACAGAAGCAGTTGACGTTTGCATCATGTACAAATGATGGCTTTACATATTCCTCCCTACAGTGGGACATAGGCCATTTGGACATGGGTTGATTCATCATGGAACTTTGATTTTTGACATTATTTCAACAAGTGCATCAGCAGTCATGTGGCAAAGGGATCTCCCAACCTCACATCACCCATGGAAGGCATCTCTGCAGAGAAGAGCATCTGACATTAAGCTTAGAATTCAGGAGCAGAGGGAATTAGTTCTGTGCTCCCTTGGAGGTCTTGCATTAGCTGGGGGCATTGTGTCTGCAGGTGCCTGTTCTAACATCACTCGTGGTTACTTCTGCTTCATAGAAAAGTCTATTTTTGGTATGCAAGGATCAATGATATGGTCATGATTGCTTGTGACCAGAATTTGTACCCCATACAGTTGTATATGGCATGTATTTCATATGTACAATGATATGACTGTAAATGCTTTCAATCTGCACTGTGCAAGTGAATGATTGGTGCAACTGCCCCTTGAAAGACCTCCCATTTCTCAGAAGTGGAGCCCATGATTTGCATAATCAGGCTCAAAACTGACCCCTCATGTTGGATGTGGTTGCAATCATTCCCTATTCATAGGTTGCACTTATCACTGACAGATCATGAAAGGCAATACAGGTTGCGCTTGATACTGAGAGTATCATCTCCACACCCCACCGAACCTCTCAAACCCATTCTACCTAGACAGCCCATCTCTGCTGAAACCTCACATGTTTTCAACTATCACCTTGAATCATGACTCCAACCCTCTGAGCCCTGTCACTACAGTTTGGTGATGCCTACCATTGTGCTGCACACTTTACTGGTTGAGCACACAGCGGTGGTAACTGCCAATCACAACCCTCCCACAGTGTCCCACATCCTCTCTTGTGCCATCAGCTCTCCCATTACATATTGAATATTCCCCACCCCCACTGTCCTTGTCCCCTCACATCCCAGGCTGCTGCCCAATCCCCAAGTTTGACTTCTCCCACATCCCTACTGCAACAGTGTTCCTAGTTACCCACCCCTGACATTCATTCTGTTGACCTCTTGGACTGACTACGCTCAACCTCCCAACTGATTTGGAAGGATAGCCCTGAATAATGACTGACCAGACCCCTGACTGATTTCAGTGCCTTTTCCTGACTAACGATATACTAATCCCCAGTCTGGTTGCACTGGACCTGCAGGACTGACTGTGGCACAGTCCTGGACCAGAGTGTGATGGTTACCCTGACCCATTCGGCCTAAGTGGACTATACCCAATACCTTGGATTGATCAGGGACATTGTCCATGACTGTCTCAACAAGGACTGACAGCAGTCCTTCTTGACTTGATTCCCTTTCACTTGGAAACGTAGCCATTTGGTTGATTCACAAGTTGTGTATTTGCGAGGCTGTTGGCACATGCTGGTTTTAAAAGAGCAAGCTGTAATCTTCCAGAATTCCATAGACATTAGAATGCCTCCCAAGAACTGCAAGGTAAGAAATGCAGCCTCTCTATTTAAGAAAGAAGCAAGAGAGGATACAGGATACTTTAGGCCAGTTCACCCAACATCAGTACTAGGCAAAATTATAAAATCTATTGTAAGAACATAATAATGTTGCATTTAGAAATCATAAAACATTTGATAATGAGAAATGCAAAAGATTACTCATGGAATTAGAGTAGATATAAACATGTATTAAGAATTGGTTAATGGACAGAAAATCTTCTTGAACAGTGACTTGGGATTGAGGATGTTATTGGTCCTGAGGTGACTGAATTGTCTAATACTCACTCAGTAAGGTCTCCGACACCTGGGCAAGGAATACTGCTAAAGTAGGGGTCTGGATGCTCCTGCTATGCTTGTACTTGGCCTCCATCTGGGCCAGTCACAGATGTGTGAAACAGTTGGCTCCTTCATAGATGGACTTGGGCTAGAGAACCTTTGGGGACATTATATTTTATTTCACATGTTTTGAGGATGTCCTTGAAATGTTTTCTCTGCCCTCCTGGTAATCACTTGTGACAGAGCTCAGAGTAGAGAGCTCATTTTGGAAGTCTCAACTATAGAGCTTAGATGGTGAAGGCATGTGTGATGTGGTTGAAGGCATGAATGCTGAGGACTGAATCTTGGTAAAGAGGATCTCCAAAGTGCCTCTTTCAATATACACTCACTACCACTTTATCCTTGATGAGACCCATTCCATTCTTAGCTGTCAGTGGGATCGGTCCTTTAGTGCCGGGTGGGTCAGTGGAATCGGTCCTTTAGTGTTGGGTGGGTCAGTGGGGTAGGTCCTTTAGTGCCGGATGGATCAGTGGGATCGGTCCTTTAGTGCCGGGTGGGTCAGTGGAGTAGATCCTTTAGTGCCGGGTGGTTCAGTGGAGTATGTCCTTTAGTGCCAGGTGGATCAGTGGGATTGGTCCTTTACTGCCGGGTGGGTCAGTGGAGCAGGTCCTTTACTGCCGGGTGGGTCAGTGGGGTAGGTCCTTTAGTGCCGGGTGGGTCAG